ATAACCAAACTTGCACTGGCCTCCCACCAGTTTGAACTGCAATGCAGCATTTAATGACAAGAAGAACTGTTCATAATCTCCAAGATCATTAACATTAAAACCAACAACACATGACTTTGGCAGCTTTAAAAACAACTCTACTGGCGTGGCTTTGGTGTGAGAAACAAAACTGGACGCTGCCATCAGTAAAACTCGCCTATCGGTGTTTCATTTAAGCCTTTTTAAGATATGAGAGCCAGAGAACAAAAATCAAAACAACAATCTTTACTTTGTTTTACTTCCTGATTAAATGGACAGAAGTGAACCATGTGGTAGCAGCCAGTTCAAACAAACGCCTTTGTAGTTTATGGCATAATCAGATAATGCAAACGGACAGCTGAGAAGGCCCAAAACATTGTAAAACTTCAAATCGTACATATCTTAATGTAAAGCCACTAAACCTGGACTTTTAGTTCTCGCTTTCTCATAGCCAACGTCTGAAATTGCTTATTCTCCTTTGCAAGAGCATGACGTAAAAAGTTAAACCATAAATGAAATGGGGCTTGGTATTTTACAGCTCGGGAATAAACCTTCATTTTTAATCAACATACTTTACGTGGCCATCTGCTGCAGCGTGACACTTTTACTTAGCCAACGGATCACCTACAGCGTTGTCAACCGTGAAGTCGGCAGGACGAGCGATGATGACACCGTTTCAAAAAGTGATTTCAATTAAAGAGTCAAACAGAATTTCTCTGAACATTGGTCAGCAGAACAGGGGCAGATTTAGGACTGAAGAAGATCCGGGGCTTAACACACACACACACACACACACACACACACACACACACACGTGACACTCACTAGTCAACATCATATATGTTTGTCTTGTACCACATAATTTTTAATCTGAAGCTACATATTAAGCATATTCAGGGCAGAGTATTGTTCCTGTTAGTGTTTAGTGTGAGATGATAGTAAATATTCCCTTTCTTTCGCACGTGTGCGTATGAATAAATGATGTGAGAATAATAATTGTTAAAGTGTTTTAGCTCTGTTGACCAGCTACAGGTGTGCGTTCACAAACAAGGGACGACACCTACAGTTGTAATCGCGGAAGTAGGGAGAGGGGCTTTTCGTGCATTACATTTTTTTCATCTGTGAGAAAAAAAATCTCCAGAATTTGCTTTTAAATTCTTGACAAATACGTAAAACTTTTCCGTCAATAGACTGATAAAATGACTCGAGTGTGTTCAGGGACAAAAGTCTCAAGTTTGCTCACAACCGGCTGAAGCTGAGAAGTAAAAAGCAACCAGAAGTGTCAACAATCTTTCCTCCTCCTCCTCCTCCTCCTCCTGTGTGAGTCCCTCACTTACTTTAACTGGGAGAATTGAGTCAGATTAACACAGATGTTAGTCTACCCAAGACTTGAGCAGCAGTTGGCCTTTGTGAAAACTTTAAAGTTTCAAAGGTTTTCAGTTTGGACTTTGGAAAACAAATGAGATTAAAACATTTTTTATGCCTCTTAACAATGTTACAACATAGCTATAAAAATATTGGGAAGATAAAAATAATAATACTAAAGTGATCCTCTTGCATTTGTCTTAAAACCTCGGCTCGGTCCAAAAGCAACTGTTGAACCATCCAGTTGCCATCTCACCAAAATGCTGCACTTCCCTGGGTCCTCCACTCATCACACACTCAGGTGTTCAGCACCAGAACACCAATGGTGAGAGAGGTTCTCCGCTCAAAAAACGCAGAGAGGAGAAAGAGCCGGCTGCTACCACTTCAGCTTTAGGACAATCTACCAGAGTCCCAAAAAGAGAATCACCGTTTCAATTCACGGACAAAAAAAGATGTTTGGACCTAGAAAACGGCGACTGGTGTTTAGCGCTATCTTGTTTCCTCTGTTACCTGAGCAAACTTTTTAAATATAGCTTTAAGGAAATATGTTGACTTGCATTGATGTAACATTATTCATCTTTAGTTTGAGTGTCTCTCGTAATTTATGGCGGACCACTTTTCGTTATCTACTCAATGCCTCATTGTACTCTGTTAGTTTTAGTCACCTTACACTTACGGACTCCTGGTTAGCCTTCCTACCTGATCTCTGCTAGTTTTAGTCACCTTACACTTACTAACTCCTGGTTAGCCTTCCTACCTGATCTCTGCTAGTTTTAGTCGCCTTAAGCCTGAGTCATGCTTCTGCGCCTGCGTCAGCGCGGAGACGCGCAACGCCACTATCCGTCCTTGCGTAGACCCCCCGGCAGGCACGTAAGTACGTATGGAGTCGAGCACACTTTTCATAACATCCGTCGAACGAGACGGAGAACGAATGCTTGTGATTGGTCGGTCCAGAAACCTGAGATCACTTCCGATCAAAGACCTGTTTAGCAGACAGACATCCCACCGACGCCGCCGTCTCCTTTTATGCTCTCACTGGTATTTCAGCAAGATAAGCATTTCTTCGTCTACATCACGGAGTTCGCTTCCAACTCCGTCAAACTTCTCTTTCTCGTGTTGCTTGCCATTTTTCAGACCGCGGAAGTGATTTTCAAGGAAATAGTAACGTCACTGTACTGCTACCTACGCTACGCCCTCCGTTTTCCTGGCGGGGAATAGCTTTGCAACACCCCTTTCATCAAACGGGGAAGTATGAGAGCAAAATGCTTCCGTCGATCCGTGCGGGTCTGTCCGTTGTGGAGCTGACGCAGAAGCATGACTCAGGCATTACACTTAAGCCTGGTTTATGATTCTCCATCTGAGTCAGTGCGGAGACACGCAACGTCCTTGCGTAGGGCTCCGGCAGGCACGCAAGTACGTACGGAGTCGAGCCCACTTTTTTTAAACATCCGTCGAACGAGACGGATTACGCAAGCTTGTGATTGGTCAGGACACCGCTGTTGTTTACAGCACCGCCATTGCAAAGAGAGCCGAGGATAACTAGCGGCAGACATGGAGAAGCTTGAAGAATACCTCGCGAAAAAACTCTAAAAATATGAACGTTTCATCCTCCCGTGACTGGAGGAGTGAAAAGATGCGCAGCAAGCGTTTTATTTGTGGACGGAAATGACAGGAAACGTGGGTTTAGAGGTGGGGAGCACATGAAGAGGTGGGAGAATGAGAGACAAATATGTCCGTGTTAAAAGTCTCTTATATACACAAAAAACACAATATAAACACACGATCCTAGACCGATACATGGCAGGATACCACAGAACAGCGCTACGCCCTCTGTGGTACTGCCGGGCAATTGCTTTGCAACACTCTCCAGGAGACGGAGAAGTAAAAGAGCAAAACGCTTCCGTCAATCCGTGCGTGTCTGTCCCTTGCGGAGCTGACGGAGAAGCATAAACCAGGCTTTACTAACTCCTGGTTAGCCTTCCTACCTGATCTCTGTTAGTTTTCACAGCTTTAGTTATGGTCTGCAGTTCTCCTTACACCAGGTTTCACCTACTTAGGAATTCCTGGCTGACCACTTTTAGTTCTCTTCTCAACCTCAAATCGATATTATGTTAATTTTAGTTTTAGTCTTCAATGTTTTCTCTTTTTTTTGTAATCATTGTTCATTTTTGTGTTTGTTGTGTCTCTTTATTGCTGTAAAGCACATTGAGTTGCCTTTGTGTAGGAAATGTGCTATAAAAATAAATCCAGGTTCTGCTAAAAGGGAGTTTTCCTCTCCACTATCGCCGCATGTTTGCTTAGTGTGAGGATTGCTGTAAAGACTGACACTAGTCAGTGACTCGATGCAACCTTCCTTATACAGGAAACTTTTTACTGATTGGTATAATGAACTGAACCCAACGCACTGATAGGTCCAATTGGAAGGTTTACTTTATGAAGTGCCTTGAGACGACTCTGGTTGTGATCTGGCTCAATATAAATAAACAGAAACTAAAAAATGTTAAATAACTTTTTTTAAATGACGTAATGCCAGGGGAATTTATTCATCTGTTGCAAATTACATTATTCTCAAAGGGTTAACATTATTATAGAAATCTTTTCAATTCCCTAAATAAACAGTAAGTTATCCATAATTATCCCAGGATGATTAGTATGGAAATTTAAGATGATAGCGTCCACAAATACCGCAACAACCATCTGATTAACTCACCGTTTGTCAAACATCTACCTGCACTAAATATCAAGTGAATCATATGAAGACGATGAAGAAGCACCTTCTAATCTCTGAACACACTCGTGTTTATCGCCGAGGGCCCTTTTCAGGCTCCAGCGATAAAAAATAAAGGTTATGTGCCTAGGCAGGGCAGTTTGTGTACAATAACCCCCACCAGACGCACATGAGACAATCCCAGCAGTATTTAACAACAGGGAGGACAAAGTAGTGGCCAGTAAAGACAAAGTGGTCCCATTAAACCGAGACAGTGGTGCTGTGGGTGATCCATTTCACAGAGAAGGCACAAACGATGAGCTGCTGGGGTTTAAATGGATGCTTCAGCATCAGGAGTGGCAAAAGGTTGGGATGCACTTGTATTATTTCAGATTTAATATCACACACCCACTCACTGGCCGCTAAAGGGGCCTCTCTGCTTCGCCACCTCCTGGAGAATCAGATGGAGGATCAACCAGCCCAGAACCCTCAAACCATCCTAATCAAAGCAGCAATGCAGCGGTGGAAGTTCTTCATGACCATCCTTTAGAAAACCAGGATTTTGGTTAAAAAGGCACCCGGTTCCAGTGTGAAAAAATGTGCTCGACAGCCTTCAATGCAGAGCTATGCTGCAAACCCTCCCTGCGCCGCAGCCTTCTCCTGCCTGGGCCTTCACGCTCCAACCTGCCTTACTAGTGCGCAAACGGATGATTTCATCTGAAGGTGTTTGCCGTTTGCCTGGAGACAAGAGCGCTGCGCAGTGATGGGAGACGAGCGGAGGAATAAAGCCCAAGAAAGCCAGCGAGGATTTTAAAAGCCTCCGGACACGACTGGAGCCGCGTCGGTGACAAATGGAGGTGGAAGAAACAGCGACTCACAGAAGATTTGGTGCGTTTTTGGTGTAGCTTACCTTCCCTCGCCTTCAGGAGAACCGTGTTAGCCACGATGTTTTCTATCTCCATTGTCAGAATCCCGAGCAGTCTCGATGCATTTCACTCAGCGGGGAAAGGAAGGGAAAAAAAACGCTTTAACCGATCAAAGGTGCCGACGACGGTGAGCTTGCTGCACGCGCGCAGAAGGAACGCGGCGCTGACGCATAATAGGACTCTAATAATGCGCGGTATTCCTTCTCATTGCGTTTTGTTGGGTCGAACCCGAACCCACGGAGTGATACGGTAACAACGGAGCTTGTTAGCATTCACAGCCTGCCTGCTTTCCTTCCTTCCTGCTTCGGTTCCCACCTCCTCCTCCTCCTCCTCGACCCTCCTCTGCACAACGAAGCGAGGGAGAGTAGGAGGGATCAATTTACAACCACTGCACACACACACACACACACACACACACACACACACACACACACACACACACACACACACACACACACACACACACACACACACACACACACACACACACACACGAGAGATGCGTTTCCGAAATCTGGTTTTATTGACAGCTCCGTTTTGCCAGGGGCGGTCCTACACTGAATTACTCCTTGGGCCTGATCATCTCATCTGTAGCTGTTTGAGATATTCCTTTACGTTTACGCTCAGAGTTATGATAATCTTTCTGGAGATCTTTTAAACTGATGGTTTTTGGCCACTTTCTGTACACCGTAGCTTCAGGCGTGTGCAGGCCGGGGGGCCATTTGTGGCCCTCTGAGTGTGTTTGTGCGGCACCCAGTCACTGTCATGGCAGCTGATCATCAGGGGAAGTCACACACTTTGAACTTGTGAGCTAATTTTAAAATGAGTAGTTGACTGTGATCCATGGGGGTCTGCAAAATAATGAAGTAGTGGTGACGGGGGTGTGATCGCTGACGCATAGTGCATTGACCTAGCCTAGAAATCTAGACAAACCGTAGAGGTAGCAATACAATCGGTCTGCTCAATGACGTGCCAGGTCTGACTGGCATCCTACCCTATCGAAGCCAACTCACCACCAGGTAGCGGTCACATGACAGCTCCACTCCTCTCTTCTGTTGAATCATCGAGAAATTCTGGCTCCCAGAAACTGAAGCATGGTTTAAACTTTTGCACGGAGCTGTATTAGCGCAAATGTCTTCTTGTATTTACGAATGAATGAGCAGCAAACGTTTCTCTAGAGAAACAGCAGCTGCATGTGTCAGTAACTGAATTCAATTCAATTTTATTCATATAGCGCCAAATCACGACAAGACACTTCACATAATAAACATTCCAATTCAGGTCAGTTCATTAAGCCAATCAGAAATAATGTGTCCTATATAAGGAACCCAGCAAATTGCATCAAGTCACTGACTAGTGTCAGTGACTTTACAGCAATCCTCATACTAAGCAAGCATAAAGCGACAGTGGAGAGGAAAACTCCCTTTTAACAGGAAGAAACCTCCAGAGGATCCTGGCTCAGTATAAGCAGCCATCCTCCACGACTCACTGGGGATCGAGAAGACAGATCAGACACACACACACACACACACACACACACACACACACGCATGCACGCACACACACACACAGACAAAGACAAAGTAATGTGTCTATAGTTATATTGTGATTTCTTAGTAAATATTCTATTTGGTGAGAGATAAAACTTTATTGTATTTATCCTAGTGAATCTATAATTAAACAGATAAACTAGTAGTAGCACATCCAACATCAAGGAACCATCAGCGCCATCAACCCCAGATACCCTCTCATTTATGAACAACGGCTCTGAGCTGTCACATTACGCCATGTTGTTGCAGTCTGCAGAGAAGAGATAAGGCTTTTTTTTTAATCTTCCACTTCACAGTCCAGCAGCACCCGGGGCTTTCGCATCTGACTTTTCTGAACTTTGTTGTACTTAAGAGAGTTACAGTAAGTGTCTGCAGAAACAGATGCTGCCCACATTGTGAAATGATGAGGTGGCTCCAACGTTTCGAACGACTGAGGTTTTAAGTTTCATTAGTGAGAGTTTGTAGCCTGTTTTCACTTTGGTTCTAGCTGCAAAAGTCATAAAACAATTAGAGGAGTGCCGGGAATATCCTTGAAGTGGCTGGGAAAAGCTGCTAACTTTGATCTTTACTTAAGTATGACAAGTGTCAAGCTGCTGCATAAATCAGATGTTCTCTGTCTGCACCAGAGCTGCTTTGTGTAATATAGAATAAATAAGTTAAAAATATTTAGATTAAAAAGGTGTTTTAATGTAGGACTTTGTCATAAAAGAACCATCAGAAACAGTGTAGGTTCACTGCTGCCACCTAGTGGTCATGACGCAGAACTACAAGATGCCACTCCTGTCCTCACCCAGACTTTAGCTAAATCCTCCAGCAAATAATCTTCTTAATCTTCAGATTTTTCACAAAACAACATAATTATATAAATCCAGATTTAAATACACTATTTTTTCATGCTTAGAGAAATAAAACAGATGAATAAATCAGGTTTTCAATGTCTCTGTGACACACTTAAATCCTGGAACGTGGCTGTAAAAGCAGACATTAATAAAGCTACATGTACAAATTTAAATTGTTATTGTTTTCTGTGTAACGGGAGCTTTTGTTTTCCTTCTGTGGGGTAGAAAACTTTTTGGACACCAGGTGGTGCTGTTTGCATAATAAGGGTCTTGGTCCTTTATCATCACTGATCATTTATTTGTGGTTTAACATCCTTTCATCTTTATAGTTCATCTTTCAATAAATTAAAATAAAGTCAAATCTTTATGATACATTAAATCTGCTCTTTTTTTACCAAAAGCAAAGAGTTGCATGTGGTTAGGGAATTTGAAAAAAAAAAACATGGAATATTGTATAAACTTTTCCAGTATTTCAACACTTGCAGGAGTTTTTTCATGCAAAACCAAATGGTTGTGTAAAACAGGAGTATTCGAATCTTTAGATAAATAACTTCAAACATCGCTTTTATTAAATTTGTGAGAAGTAGTGATGAAGAGCTTAGATTTGTCCTATCTGAAGCGAACAAGGTAACTAAACGCCAAGATACTAAAATTATAACAATAAAATATGTTTGGTAGCACTTTACAAGGGTCCCTTTACTAACGTTGCTTAGTGCATTGTTACGCATTAATAAACTATTAAATATATAATTAACAACTGCTTAAACGTGTTATGTGATGCATTTCTAAGAAGAAACCCCCAGTCCTTTGTCCTAACCTGATGTGACAGGGTGAGGATGTGACAGGGTGCGCATCCTGTCACATCCCGGTTGGTCATGCACCTGAGTGAAGTTGGCCCCCCCACCCCCACATTAATGGAATCAAACAAAACTGTCATCCTGGCAACCTGTCCAGGATGTACCCTGCCTCTTGCCCTATGACAGCTCGGATAGGTTCCAGCGCCCACACGCGACCCTTAGAAGGATAAGTGGAAGCGAATAGATGGATGGATGGAATTTTATTAATATCTTTAAAATTAAACATTAAAGAAAGGGGCTGGTTGAGCTTTAGAAACTTTTGGTTTCCAAATGAAAGCGGCACAAACGAAAATTTTTGCAGCACAAACCAGCACAAACGTAGCACAATTGATTTACACCAGTTTTGTTCGATTTAATTAATGTGGGGGGGCTGGTTGACCTCTGATGACCTTTAGAAATGTTTATTAATATCTTTAAAATGATAGTAGCACAAACGAAAATTTTTGCAGCACAAACGTAGCACAATGGTTTGATACCACTTTTGTTGGATTTGAAAAAGGTGGGGGGGCTGTTTGACCTTTTGACCTTTACATTTTCATTAATATCTTCAAGACAGAAGCAGCACAAACCAGCACAAACGTAGAACAGCTGTTGACACAAGTTTTGTTTGATTCCATTAATGTGGGGGGGCTGGTTGACCTCTGATGACCTCCAGAAATTTTTATTAATATCTTTAAAATGATAGTAGCACAAACGAAAATTTTTGCAGCACAAACGTAGCACAATGGTTTGATACCACTTTTGTTGGATTTGAAGAAGGTGGGGGGGCCAACTTAACTCAGGTTGGTCATGCACCCTGGCCACTTGGCCGAGGGGATGTCCCTTTAGTGTGCATGACTCTCATCTGGGAGTCTGGGGATCGAATCCCGCCCGGTCCCTCGTTCCTCCACCTTGCCACACTAAGGACACTTAATAGTCACCAATAACGCTAATGAAGGTTTCTGAGTTTGCGATGACTCTGGAGGACTTCTGCATTACGGTTCTTTTTTGAACACAGCAAAAGTGTTATTTTTACCTGGTTTTTGCTGATCACAGTAGCCTTCCACAGAGCTTTGCCTTCCTTCTCCGTTCATCACCACCAACCATAAAGGCTGCCATGCACAGGTGCTACCAGTCCCTCTGACCACCACCAGCAGCAGGCAAGGCGGGTTAAGTGTCCTGCCTAAGGACACTACAGCAGCATTCTCTGGCGGGTGCCGGGATCTAACCTACAACCTTCCCATTAGTGGACGACCCGCTCCTCCTGAGCTGCTGCTGCTAACATTTCTGCATTTGGTAAACACGTTCCGCCAAAGCGACTTAGAGGTGTGGCAGCTACGCAGCTGGCGCGTGCCGTCCAAGGACACCGTGGCAGAATAGGATGAGCTGGAATTGAACCGGCAACCCTCCTATTACTGTACAGGCAGAAACCTGAGTAAAAAAAGAGAAATAAAAATGGTCATTAAGGGCTTCCAGTGCCTGCAATAAAATAGATTTAACATAAAAAATGAAGAAAAAATATCTAAAAAAATTATTCAACAAATATAATAAAAAATATCTAAACATTTTTTTTTCAAAATATAATCAAAAATATCTAAAAAAAAATTCAAAATATAATAAAAAATCTAATTAAAAAGTTGATTATTACATAAATAATGAATCTGACAAGCCTCTGTGTCACAACAACACTGTTCAATAAGAAAACATAATAAAAAAGGAACAGAGAATAGAACTAATGGGTCACAAATGGTAAAAATACTAATTCACCTTCCTAAAATGTGTATTTGAATACGGGGGGGCAATCTATTCATGTTGGGTGCAGTGGTGCCCCCAAGGAGTGGCCAGGGGTGGCCAGAGGACCACCGCAGTAAAATAATTGACCCCCCCCCCAAAGGAAGACCCCCCACCCCCTTTGATGAATGTCCACACAAACTATACATTCTGTATATTTGGACATCTTTTCTCTGATTGGCTAACAGCAATACAACTCACTGTTTGTTCTGCAACATTTAATTTTTGATCTGCACAAATAACTCAAGCCTGAAGGAGTTCTGCTGTGTAATGAATTTGCTAATGCTAACGGTTAGCTTCCACTAGTCGAGACGTTTTCTGCTGTTTCCTGAACGCTAAGCCAGCAACAGCGTTTCCTGTCTTGAGCCAGTTTGGATGAGTCCGAGTGACAGCTTGGTGCAGAATGGTCAGACTTTTCTAATTCTAGAGTTTCAGAAGCTAATGCAGGAAGTTTGTGTGGGAGACTGTTTTCATGTTCAGCCTGCATGGTAAACCCAGCGACTGATCATTTCTAAGGATAATAAGTAAGAGATGGCAACAGGTGCGCAACCAGAAGCATTTCAGAGACAAAATGGGGCCAATTGTAATTCTGGGGGAGTTTAGCCTGTAGCAGTAAAAATGTCCTTCAGTGAGAACCCATCCCGTGGATTCATGAGACAAACAGAATTTTCTGGAAGTTGTGCATCATGCTGGTGATCCAGCCATCCACAGGTCATGGTAATCCAAAGAGGTCAAATTAAGGCAACTGGACATCTTTGGTTTCTTGAAGACATTTTGCTTCTCATCCAAGGAGCTTTGTCAGTTCTGACTGGAATATGGCCATTTTCTGCTCATTACGCAACAGTGGACAGCGACAGTTCCTAAGCGTGACCCTCCCATATTCCAGTCAGAAAGGACAAAGCTCCTTGCACGAGAAGCAAAACGTCATGAAGAAACCAAAGAAGTCCAGTTGCCTTCATTTGAACCCCATTTGGAAGCTGTACATCCTGTTAGGCTGGAGTTAAACTAACACAAGGACATATTGACAGTCAAGCACGGTAGTGGTAGTAGCATGATGGATTGGGGCCCATTTGGTGCTTCAGGACCTGGACCAGTTGCTGTAATTGAAGGAACCATGGAATTTGCTCTCCAACAGAAAATCCTGAAGGTAAATGTCTGACCTTTGACCTTAAAAAACTCAAAAGTGGCTGAAATTCAAACAATTCTGCACAGAAGTCTGAGACAACTCCCCTCCAGCTCCTACTCAGGTAAATTTGCACGTCATGTGTCATGAAATGACGTCACAGCAGGGTTTTAAATTCATGATGTGATCAGCGCTGCTTCCTGTTTCTGTTCTCACGTGACCTCTGAGCTCCGGAGCGCCTCTGAAAACAAGTCTTAAAGCTGAAGGAAACTCGGCGGTCAGGCGCACAACTCTGCTAGAAAACCTAGCTGTTGAACTGAGGATGTTTTCTCTCGGGGAGACGATGGAGTTCCTCATCGGAAACCACTTTTCTACGCCCGTCGGCCAGAGAATCGGTAAGTTAGCTGCGGATTTCACCGTTTGAGCAGCAGCGCTTGAAGCCTTTTTTATTTACAAACTCACCGACACGTTTTCGGGATTTTAAACCCACGCTGCCGATTATTTTACTCGATTCGACAAGATTTTGGTGTAAAACGCTTCCCGCTTAACTTAAAAAATGAGTTAAAAACAGAAAAGTAAGTTTCAGAGGCGACGTGACTGGCGGGTGGGGCTTATTTGGAATCCTTGCACGCGATTGGTTACTGTAGCTTCATTGACAGCTCTTGTAGCGAATCAGGAATCGGCTCGGTGTCCTTTCACTTCCTCAGTGACTGGAGTGTTTTTATCCTGCCAGAGTTTCACATGTCTTCTCAGGAATTAAACGGATTTCACCCAACGAGCGGGTTTCAGCAGTAATTCCTGCCTTAATTTCCAGCTACTAAACAAATCCTGAACTTTTTTATTTGCGTCTGACTGCAGGCCAGCTGTGGGATGACTGCAGCATGCGTGAATACACTCCCATCTCAACACTTCCTTCCTCTTTATTTTATCGACTGGGTTTCTCTCGCATGGATGTCAGCTAGTTCTCAGGCAGATGAGAACAGAAGCAGCTGACAGTCACATGAAATGGAGGTAGCTGGAGGGGGAGTCAGAGGGGAGGGGAGGGGGGAGGATAGGTTGAGGCTGTGGTGTTTGGTGGAAAGGAATGAGATTTAGTCTTATGAGGTGGAGGGTTGAGTTTAAAAGCTGGCTGATTGGGAATAAATCTTACAACTTTGACTTTGTTTTATAGAAAAAGTTTTTTTTCATCCTGAGGATTCCAGTAGTATGTTTAACCTCCTCCGATTGGTCAAAGTTTCTCTAATTTATTTATTTTTTCTAAAATATATTTATCAAACAAACCAGACGTCCTGATTTAGGTGGGTCATCCATCCATCCATTTTTCATAGCTTATCTGGGGACGCGTCACGGGGGGGGGGCAGCCTAAGCAGAGAGAGGCCGAGACAGCTCCTCTAGGAATTCCTAAGGCATTCCCTGGCCTGACAAAACCTCCGCCCAGTTGGGCATGCCCAGAAGAACTCACCAGGGAGGTGTCTAGGAAGCATCCTAACTAGATGCCTGAGCCACCTCAACTGGCACTTGGCGATGTGGAGGAGCAGCGGATCTACTCTGAGCCCCTCCTGGATGACCGACTTCTCACCCCATCTCTAAGGGAGAGATTTGGCCGCTTGTATCTGAGATCTCGTTCTTTCAGTCAGTACCCAAAGCTCATGACCATAGGTGAGGGAAGGGACGTAGATTGACCGGTAAATTGAGAGTTTCACCTTCTGGCTCAGCTCTTTCTTCACCACGACAGACCGGTACAACGCCCGCATCACTGCAGACGCAGCACCAATCCACCTATCGATCTTTCACTCCATTTTCCCCTCACTCGAGAACAAGACCCCGAGATACTTAAATTCCTCCACTTGAGGCAGGACCTCGTCCCTGACCTGGAGAAGGCATTCTACCCTTTTCCGACTCAAGATCGTGGTGGGTCTACAGTTTCAAATGTCTCATGATGAGGCTAAAAGAGCCTGAGATCAAAGATAATACCTTCTGCAAAATGTTAATTTACAAGACAAGATCACACCCTAGAATGTTTTATTTCTGGTGCACCAGCACCATGCTGCTGGGCCTTCAGACGGACAGGGATGTAATTAAAAAAGCACAGAAGTGCAGCGTGGTTTGCAGACCTTCAGTAATCGTCTCAGAGGATGAAAATTCAGTGCTGCTGATCTTATTCCTCAGAGTCACGAGAAGCTGCTGCCTATTCAGTATGTGCTCAACACCAGATTTACATTGTGTGTCTCTTACAGTGTGCTGCATAGTGTTGGACCCAAGTTTTCCTTTTTTATTCGTGGTTTTTGTGGTCGAAGGTTACAGTTCTAGCTTACTGCCTATGTCTATACAGTGGTGTGAAAAGCTATTTGTCCCCTTCCTGATCTTATTCTTTTGCATGTTTGTCACACAAAATGTTTCTGATCATCAAACACATTTAACCATTAGTCAAAGATAACACAAGTAAACACAAAATGCAGTTTTGAAATGATGGTTTTTATTATTTAGGGAGAGAACAAAATCCAAACCTACATTGTCCTGTGTGAAATAGTAATTGCCCCCTGTACCTAATAACTGGTTGGGCCTCCCTTAGCAGCAATAACTGCAATCAAGCGTTGGCGATAACTTGCTACGAGTCTTTTACAGCGCTCTGGAGGAATTTTGGCCCACTCATCTTTGCAGAATTGTTGTAATTCAGCTTTATTTGAGGGTTTTCTTGCATGAACCGCTTTTTTAAGGTCATGCCATAGCATCTCAGTAGGATAGAGGTCAGGACTTTGACTAGGCCACTCCAAAGTCTTCATTTTGTTGTTCTTCAGCCATTCAGAGGTGGATTTGCTGGTGTGTTTTGGGTCGTTGTCCTGCTGCAGCACCCAAGATGGCTTCAGCTTTAGTTGACCAACAGATGGCCGGACGTTCTCCTTCAGGATGTTTTGGTAGACAGTAGAATTCATGGTTCCATTTATCACAGCAAGCCTTCCAGTTCCTGAAACAGCAACACAACCCCAGACCATCACACTACCACCACCATATTTTACTGTTGGTAAGAAGTTCTTTGTCTGAAATGCTGTGTTACTTCTACGCCAGATGAAACGGGACATTTGCCTTCCAAAAAGCTCAAATTTGTCTCATCAGTCCACGAGGTATTTTCCCAAAAGTCTTGGCAACCATTGAGATGTTTCTTAGCAAAACTGAGACGAGCCCTGATGTTCTTTTTGCTTAACAGTGGTTTGCGTCTTGGAAATCTGCCATGGAGGCCATTTTTGCCCAGTCTCTTTCTTATGGTGGAGTCGTGAACACTGACCTTAATTGAGGCAAGTGAGGCCTGCAGTTCTTTAGAAGTTGTCCTGGGGTCTTTTGTGACCTCTCGGATGAGTTGTCTCTGCGCTCTTGGGGTAATTTTGGTCGGCCGCCCACTCCTGGGAAGGTTCACCACTGTTCCATGTTGTTGCCATTTGTGGATAATGGCTCTCACTGTGGTTCGCTGGAGTCCCAAAGCTTTAGAAATGGCTTTATAACCTTTACCAGACTGATAGATCTCAATTACTTTTGTTCTCATTTGTTCTTGAATTTCTTTGGATCTTGACGTGATGTCTAGCTTTTGAGGTGCTTTTGGTCTACTTCTCCTTGTCAGGCAGCTCATATTTAAGTGATTTCTTGATTGAAACAGGTGTGGCAGTAATCAGGCTTGGGGGTGGCTACAGAAATTGAACTCAGGTGTGAAACATCACAGTTGGGTTATTTTTTAACAAGGGGGGGCAATTACTTTTTCACACAGGGCAATGTAGGTTTGGATTTAGTTCTCTCCCTAAATAATAAAAACCATTTCAAAACTGAATTTTGTGTTTACTTGTGTTATCTTTGACTAACGGTTAAATGTGTTTGATCAGAAGCATCTTGTGTGAAACATGCAAAAGAGGAAGAAATCAGGAAGGGGGCAAATAGTTTTTCACACCACTGTATACACATGTACCTTTGTTATTATTTTTCTTCAAATTATTCCCTTAAGTGTTGATGCTGCTGTAGCAAGTGCATTTCCCCACTGTGGGATCAATAAAGTCTAATCGATTCGATTCTAATTTCAGCGGTGATCGGGTGAGAGGTGGGGGACACCTTGGTCAGATCTCAAGTCCATCGCAGTCCCACCTAGGAACAACTTAGAGCAGAGGTCTTCACGACGAGGGCTAAAACTGTCAAGTTAAAATCCCTCGCCGGCCACAAAAATGCGATGTAGGGCTGCACAATATATCGTAAATATATAGTTATCACGATATCAGCATGCACAACATGCATATCGCAAAGAACAGATAAATATCGCAATGAATGGTCAGCTCAAATGTTTGCATAACGCATTCTGTCAGTCAAATGGAAGCATGATGTTTTTTTAACAAATCAAATAGAGCTCTTCACCCATTTGGCCAATAGGGTGGGTTCTCATAGGTTAGAGTCCCGCCCCCGAGGCAGACGGCACTTAATTTTGAAGGTTAGCAAACACCTCAGTTAGCTTAGTTCTGCTCTTTCTGCTGATTCTGCTTTTCCCAGGATCCACCTTTTCTTGTTCATTTTCTTTTTACCTTTCCTCTCATTTTTGCTTTTCTCATTTTTGTGACTTTTTTATTTCTTTGTTTTTGATTATTTTTGTTCCTGAAGTAAGTTTTTATTTATCGCAAGGCAATTGTTGAGTTTTCTGCTTTATTTTCAGATTTTTTGTTGTCCTGTGAGGATTCTTCTGATCCTGAGATCCTCCTATCCCTCTTTTCTGCCTCTTGCTGTGAGAACTTTCTGTCTTTCTTTGTGGACAAAGTCAATAAGGTTAGATCTCGCATCTCTCCTTCAGCCTTATTGCTGCCTCTCCCGACTCCAACCAGGCCCATCATCCTAGATAGCTTTGCTCCTGTTTCTTTGCCTGAGTTAACCAAACTAGTTAACTCTATGAAGACCTCTGCATGCCCCCTCCACATCTTACCCTCATCTTTGTTTAAAAGTGCTTTTCAGTCCATCGGTCCCAGCGTGCTCTCTATAATTAATGCTTCTCTGGTTTCTGGTCAGGTCCCTGCTTACTTTAAGAACGCTGTAATCCACCCGCTTCTTAAAAAACCGAGTCTTGACCCCTCTCTCCATAGCAGCTTCAGACCCATCTCTAAACTTCCGTTCATCTCCAAGATCTTGGAAAAGGTTGTGGCTAAACAACTCACAGCAGCTCTAGATGAACATAACATCTATGATAGCTTCCAGTCAGGTTTTCGTAGAGCTCATTCTACTGAAACAGCTCTTCTTAGGGTCTCTAATGACCTTCTGACTCACACTGATGCAGGGGACTGTTCTGTTCTGGTCCTGCTGGACCTGAAGTCTGCTGGAGAGATAAAATCTTAATCTAGAAGTTTTAGTGGGGCCGCACAACGTCACTCCAAGGGCCACAAATGGCCCCCAGACCACTCTTTGGACACAACAGATTTAGAGTCCCCAGTTCTTGGGAGGAAACTGGAGTAACCGGAGCAAACTCATGCAAGACTGCAGAGAGCACGCCAACCCAGGAAGGTCGCAGTCAGGATTCAAACCTGCAACCTTCTCGCTGCAAGGCAACAGTGCTACAGCCGCTCCACCTTACCGCCCGTGATTTATTTCCCCAAACTATTTATTATCAGGAGGAACTTTATAAACAACAAAATAAGCGCCGTCTTTGAATGTTTAGTAGTTCAAAATTTTTCCTAAAATAAATAATAGATGAATTAATAATAATAAAATGGCAGGATTTCCAGTTTTTCTCATTATTTTTCATGGTATCCAAACGTCTCGGCTAAACGCAACTCTTCCGCTGCCTTCGTTCGCCCTCGTGTTGTGTTGTGGAATTCCTAATGGCTAGCTTCTGCTAGCCGAGACACAAAATCAACACAGCCTGTCTGTGGGCAGTCCCAAACCGATGTGGGCGGGGCCACAAACGCTGTTTTCCCTGAAGAGACTGGCCTTTTCTGAGCCAATCGTTTCCCCGTCTATTTCCTTTCTGCGGCTAATGCAGGTTCTGGGGCTCGAAGACGTTTTTCACGTTCAGCGTGAAGATGGAGCTCAGAGTCACCGAACGAATTTTACAAAGGACAAGTGTCGCAGAGTTTCTCCGTGAACGAGAACTTAAAAGTGAAAATACGTCTTTGGAAGCAAAAAATAAATAATACAGGAAATCGTAATGACCTGTGAAAATGGATCATAACATTATTTTGTCAGAAGGAGGCTGTCCTAGTTGGTGTATAGTTCATGCAGCGATGATTTCAGCTTTGAGTTGTTTTGTGACAGAGCGAGCCACCAGCGGCTCTCTGCAGTCGGAGGACTGGATGCTCAACATGGAGATCTGTGACATCATCAATGAGACGGACGAAGGGTAGGGAAGATGACTTTCATATTTATTGTCTGTATTTGTTAATTCAAAGACGATGAACCAAATAGTTTTTATTCCAGGCCCAAAGATGCCGTCAAAGCCATTAAGAAGAGAATAGTAGGAAACAAGAACTTCAGAGAGATTATGCTTGCTCTGACGGTGAGTAACGACTGTTGCTTACGTTTGATTTGTCCCGTCATGAGGAACCGAAAGCTGCTTTAGCGAATCTACAGAACAAGCTAGGGCTTTAACGAAACCACGGTCACCAAACACTCACCCCTCCCCTCGGGTATCTTCCCTGAGACGCTTCTGCTGGAACCAGAAACCCGCATTACCAGAGGAAACGAGATGGAGCTAAACACCGGTCTGTTTTCTAGGTCCAAACGTCTTTTGTTGTCCGTGAATTCAAACGGTGATTTTATTTTTGGGACTCTGGTAGTTTGTCCTAAATATGTGAGTGTGTGGTGAGTGGAGAACCCAGGGAAGTTCAGCGGTTTAGTGACACAACCGTATGGTCCGATGGTTGGTTTTGGTCCGAACTGTCTTATCGGTCAAAGTCCCATTAGTTGCCCCTGATGTGTGTGCGAAATTTGTTCTCCGCATTTGACCATTGGGTCTCATTTTTTCAAAGTCTTTGGTACGACCCGACCAGGAATCGAACCCTGATCTCCCAGTCTCAGGGCAAACACTCTACCACTAGGCCACTGAGCTGGTTGGTGGAGGTTTTTCGACAAATGTGAGAGAACAACTTTTTATTTCCATTATAGATTTATAGCTATACTTTATTAGAACGTTGTTAGGAGGCATGAAAAAATGTTTGAAGCTCTTTTGTTTTCTAAATGTGCCGTTGCAGCGTTAAGCCTGCTGTCTAAAGACCAAAGTGATCCTCATTCTGATTGGCTGCTGACCAAGAAATCACATTAGCTCGTTTGCTAAACAAGCATTAGAGAAACCCGTAAATAAAATAAAATTAGAGAAAGAATCACTTTTTAAAAGGATCATCAGACATTATCAGCAGATATCGGCATTGAAATGTAATTTTGGAAGCCATCGTCTTTTCTCCTTTAATGAAACAACCTTCACCTCGTACATATTACAAACCAGACAACCTTCACCTCGTACATACTACAAACCAAACTCTTCAGATTCTTCTCTAAGTCAAAATGTCCAAATATGACAGATGTGAGGTTTCGCTTTTGAGACATTTTTGTGTTTGTGTGCTAAAACGGACCTAACTTAGTACTGTTTGAACTTTATAATAATTGTTATTAATCAAACTTTATGTTTATAGCTGATGGGAGAAATGTGATGTTAGTGACCCAAAAGGATTTAGGGTTTCGTACGAGGGTTTCCTCCTCATATATTCATATTGGTTTTTGTTGTTTCTGGAAGTTAAGAGTTGGAATAAATGGAATATCCTGTCTAACATCTCTGCTTATTAAAGAATATTTGCTCTGTGCTTTGCGCCCTCAGGTTCTTGAGACCTGCGTGAAGAACTGCGGCCATCGTTTCCACGTGTTTGTGGCCTCACAAGAGTTTGTTGAAGGAGTTTTGGTTCGTTCCATTCTGCCCAAATATAATCCGCCCACAGTCCTTCACGATCGTATTCTCAGCCTGATTCAGGTAAGTGTGTGAAGGCACTTATTTATTTGCTCTATCAAACCAAGTTCCTGTTATTGTTTCAATTGCTTCCTTGAAATGTGACAAACATAAACCCAAAGCATGTGATCCTCCAGATTTCACTTCCTACTTACAGGTGAACATGGTGCACAAGTGCAGTTATGTCAGTAGTCAGACTTAGACTGAGAGACCATCTAAAGCAACACAGAGCACTTTCCTGCTCCTCTGCCCTGCTGGTTGAAAGACGGAAAAGCTTTTGTGGAATCGCTGAATGGAAGGAATAAAAAGATTCGATCCAAATTGATTTTCTTTTTTTCCCTGCATTCTTACATGAATAAAGATTAAGCAGCCGCATTTGTAAATAATTCCAATTTTCTTTTTGATCCTCAGTCATGGGCTGATGCTTTTCGCAGCTCTCCCTCCCTGTCCGGGGTGGTGTACGTGTACGATGATCTGAGGAGGCGGGGTCTGGAGTTCCCCATGACGGACCTGGATGCGCTGTCCCCCATACACACTCCCAATAGGGTGAGGCTTAGCGATGGGTACCGAATTCGGTACTTTTTAAGGTACCGACCGAATTCCATAGTACCGACTGAGCACCGATTCACGTCATTTGAAACGGTGCCTCGTTTCGGTACCCGTCCTTCATAACGAGAACTTGCCAAGACAGCTGCGCATGCGCAAGAGTGTTATGTCGTCGGTCGCTGCGAGCGATCTGTAAACAGAGCAGCATGGTAGAAAGAACGCACGCTAAAGCTTGGGTCCACTTCACTAAATGTGATGGGTAAGTGGGTGATGATGAAACCAGCGACAACGATCTAGTGGGACATCCTCATCTTAATCTGCTCCGGTAGGTAAATAAAATGTTTAAGATAACATTAGCCTGATATGTTAGCTTCCGTTCTGCTAATGGTGCATTCGCTTTCTCCTCGGAACTCAGAATTTCCGACTAGAAGAACATGGACGCGCTCTAAAGTTTGGCTTCACTTTACTAAATGCGACGGGTGATTGGGTGAAGATGAAACCAGTGACAACGATCTAAGTGTGAGGCATCATCGTTTTAATCTGCTCCAGCAGCTAAATAAACTGTTTAAGATAACGTTAGCTTGATATGTTAGCTTCCATAGCTACCATTGTTATCAGCTAATGGTGCGTTCGCTTTCTCCTCGGAAATTCTAACTTCCCAGTAGGAAAAATCAAATGAAAAAAGACGACAAAAGGAATGAAGATGCACAGTAAATTTAGTTCACAGTAAAGATGTTTGCTTCAGTTTAATTATCAGCTTATAAAACTACAAGGACGATGTTCAAATACAAACAGTTGTATGTTATTTATCGTGATATTTACCAAATATGGTTATATATTGAGAAAAAAATATATTTAATTATAGAAGAGAATTAAAATATTAAACACTCAAAAGTATCGAAAATTGGTACCGTTAAGTAACGGTATCGATTCCTAGGTACCGGGTATTAGTACCGAATCGATTCAAATGTCAAAGGTACCCATCCCTAGTGAGGCTACCTGTAATCTCATACGTGTGTGATCATACGCAGTGGTTTGATCTTTCTGACTAATTCTGCAGAGCATTCCCGAAAGTGAGACCTCGGATACGACTCCTGTTGCTGCTTCCGCACCTCAGCCCCAACCACAAGCTCCCGCCAGCACCCCCAGTGAAAACACTTCACCCCCAGTCCAGCCCGGTGATGGACCGGTCCAGCTGTCTCCAGAACAGGTAAAAAAAAATCCTCCAATCAGTGAGCGTGTTACCTTGAGTTTATTGTCCCAAGAATCTGAGAACTAAATGAGCTTCAGGGTGTTTTTCTCTCTGTTTCCATGGTGGTAAAAATAAAAACCCACAGATTAGTCAGCTGATGCATGACTAAGTCTTTACGAAAAGCCCGTCCAATCCACCAGAACAACAGGCCGTTTTGTTACTTTTCAAACTTCAGGAGGAGAAGCTGCGGAGAGAGCTGGCGCTCGTGAAGGGAAATCTCACAGTAATGTCTCAGATGCTCAACGAACTCACACCGGGACAGGGCGAAGCTGATGATGCAGAGCTGCTTCAGGTGGGTCTTCGTATCTGGCTGATTGAAAGGTGTCTCATAGTTTAAATCCACATTTATTGTATTGTTGTTGAATAAAGGCAGCTTGGGGTGTCTGATGTACCAAAACTCTGAGTAATGTTGCAACGGTTGGTTCTGAGAAAATCCGGTTTAAAGGGACTTTACGGAGTTTTGAATTTTTATGCTCGTGATTGCCCCCTCAGGCCAAAAGCATAACGGCAGCTTCAATAGTAGGCTCGTGCACGAGGCGAGCATGCTGTACGTGCACACTCCTTAATGAAAATAACAGCTGAGACAGTCCCGTGTGTGTGTGTGTGTGTGTGTGTGTGTGTGTGTGTGTGTGTGTGTGTGTGTGTGTGTGTGTGTGTGTGTGTGTGTGTGTGTGTGTGTGTGTGTGTGTGTGTGTGTGTGTGTGTGTGTGTGTGTGTGTGTGTGTGTGTGTGTGTGTGTGTGTGTGTGTGTGCGCGTGTGTGTGTGTGTGGCCCAGAGGACAGGAGAACGCGCAGCTAGTTAATTAAATAATTAGGTTCTGTACCTTTCTCTTCAGCACAGCCGACAAAGGTTTATGATGGGTCAGTCCTCCTGCATGCTCAGATCATTCCCTTCCCTTGCTTGAAAAATTGTTCCAAAATGAAAGTCTTTTTTATCTGTGAATTCAATGCCGTTCGGCGAGTCTCAAATAAAAATTTGGGCATCTTACTGTTAAAAAAAAATAACAATGTAAAAAAGAAACTCTAAATGAACTATGTTCGTATCCGGATTCGAACCCAGGTCTTCTGCAAGAAAGTCCGATGTCTTACTAGGCGAGCTAAAGCGCCAATGACGTCCTATGTATCCGTACCATTTATATCCTTGATGACAGCTGAAACAACGTTCAAAGAACGGTTCGGAGGGCGATGCCTGAGCGTGAACGTGCATGAAGCAGCCTGCTCGACCCGAGCAGCTCTCTTTTTCTGTGATTTTACAGAAAAACAGGCAATCACAGTAAAAATGCCAGGGCTCATTCTACAGGACCAGGGCATTTCAGGAGAATGTATGAAGAAGAAATTTATTATTTCTACACATGTTTTGGCTGTCACACTTCCATAATGTCCCTTTAAAGCTGCAACAGCAAATTTGAAAAAAAAATTGTTTAAAACATTTTTTTATGCGTCTTGACTCAATCACTTCCAATGTTTTTACTGTGTGGGCGTCGGACGAGCCCCCGCACCGTGAGAACAAACATCTCAGCTCTAAAGCCGATCTTCATCCACATATGTCACACGTCACGTGATCAGGAAGCAGAACATCCATGTGTTAGGAGATCGTTT